ATCGATGAATTCTGTTGATTAGGACAACTGTTCGTGCACATTATTGCCAAGAATTTTCATTTTTTATTAGAAAAGCCTCCAAATTTAAAAATTATAAAGCGCCGCCTCCGAGGATTCTTCCGAAATTTTGTCTCCTCTTTTAAATAAAGAAATTTCGGAGGCTGAAAAGCACTTTTTTACAGCAGGTCTTTTCTCAACCAATCAAGAAGGCTTAAAAACCTAATCTTGATGTTGGGAGAGGATGATTCTATCCATTTGAATCGAAGAATTTGTATAATTTTATTGTAAATGTTTAATATTTTGTTAATGTTTAATATTGTAGGTATAATTTTAGAACCTCCCATGCAGTGTTCTAACATCAGGTCTGTTGCCAAATAATGTAGTTTTTTGCATAGTTATAAAGCTTCTCCCGTCTGCGACACAATTTGGTGACCTTCTCGGTGATAAGTTATCGCATCATCGGCGTTCTTTTTTACCGGTCTCTATAACTTTGCCCCGGTGGAGGTTACTATTAGATGCAAGCGAGAAACGTGCTAGGTAGCTGTGTTTACATGTTTCACCGCCCGAGCTGTTTACCTGGAAATCATGAGATGCCTTTCAGTGGATGCTGTCGACATAATCTTCGAAGATTTATCGCCCGTCGAAGATTGTTTCCGAAACGGTTAACGGTTTTTGTCGGTGCAGCGAACCAACTTGCCAAGGTCTTTGTTTTTACAGCCAACAACAAGATTGATGAATGATGATTGAGTCCAACAGCACTATCAATGAGTGGCTCCTGGGGACGTCTTTTCAGATTTATCAAGGATAGTTTTTCCATAACTTTGCTACAGAAAGCACCAACGAAAGAAGTACACCTAATTCTACTACTAGAAGCAGAGGTGCTAATAAATCCACGTCCAGTCCCAGCAGATTTTGAGAAGCCGCCAGCTCTCACAGTGTTTCATTTGCTGTTGGATACTCCGTCGACTGAAGCTGTTCGCCCCATACCGACACAGATTTGTACCGTCACCACAACAACAAGATGGAAGTCCGATTGACATGGTGATATTGCTTTTGTCGCCTCCTTAGATTGGTGCTCTGCACCGGGGCGTGCCATGTTGGCGACAGACCTCTTTTTATATAATTTACCTTTTTAGCATTATATTTTTATATTATGAATATGTCTTTTTGATACTTATTTTGTTTTTCTATTTGAGTGACATAATATTATTGTTATATTGTAAGAAGTGTGTACGTCTAAGAAAATATATTGGTAAGCCTCTCTCTATATTATTATTTTATTATTGTCGCTGCCCTCCTCCCCTACCGCCGCCGTTTTCATATATATATATATATATATATATATATATATATATATATATATATATATATATATATATATATATATTTATGGGTGACAATGGAATGGTAACCCCGCCTGCGCTATCGGGATACGCTGGCGGAGCACCAGTGAAGTGTGATAGATGAGAATAAAAACAGGCCAGTTAGCCCATCATGATGAATTCATCAGGAATTAACCATGATAGTTTCCAGGGGGAACCACGAGGAGGTCGACCTGGTTGGGTATATTGCTGCAATGGGATTTTTAGTCTCCATTACTAACAATCCCTTTCCCCCCGGGTAGGTATAAATTGTATACGTAAAAAAAATGTGTGTATTTTTTATTTATTCTTTATTGACCACGTTACAAAAAAGGTTTGGTACAAAAGGCGGTATTAATATAGCTTGTATTATGCATAAACGAAAAATACAAACGAATTGAAAAAAAAGCTTTTTCCCTCTTTGAAAGCAGTTTGTTGTTTAAAAAAATCTCTTGATTACGAATTAAGATCATTTTAATTTGTGCAAAAATATTTTTAATGATAAATTTGAACAACAATAGATAAAGAAAATATAATATTTTTAAAAACGTGTTCTAATTTTGGAGCGTACGCGCAGTTTTCCGGCTTGTTTACCTATATATAATAAATACAAAGAATGGAATGTTTCAAGCGTGGTAGCACATAGAATAGACTGCTGCTAAATCTATCGACGATGGTGGATTGATGCTTCTTTAAACAACGTAATATTTTCTATGTGTCCATCCATAGTTTTAAAATAAACAAAGTAAATAATTATAAATTGAAAAACTACTGTCCATAGCGTAAATTACCATTTATGGTTGAGTAAGTAAGGTCGAGTTTTTTTTATACAACTTAAAATGGCAAACAAGCTGACGGCTCACCTGGTGGAAAGTGGTAACCGTCGCCTATAGACATGAGCAGTACCATGGACATAACAGAGTATACTATTTCGCCCATGATACCCCCCTGCGTTGCCATTCCTGAGGACACAGGTGTTATTCCTCTGTACCCAGTAAATTCACGCCATATCCCATCCTTCAAACCAAATACAGCTATGCAAACACAACTGCTTCACGGTAGAAACACGAATGGGACAGAGGTACCTAAGCAATCGACTTTTGTACAAAGTCTCCCTCTGGTAAATTTTTCTATAAAATACCGCAATTATGTATTTAGTGACGGCGAAATAAGTAAAATGAAGTCTGTGTGGTCCCGGTATAGAATAGGTCATCCGGTTCTTTCCCGTGGGTGTCGTAAGAAGCGACTAAGGGCGAGCGAGGGATGGGCAGCAGCGTCCCTCTTAAAATATCTGTCAAACTTAACAGCAGTTGCCAAACCACCTGCCAAGCGTGGCAACTACTGGCAAAACCCCCAAGAGGGAGGCTTATATTCAGCAGTGGACAGTTAAAGGATATGATGATGATGATAAGAAGTGAAATGAGTTTTCCTAGATCATATTTATATTTATATGAGATTTCCTAGATTTCATTAGTTTTATTCCTCGCCTGTACCGTATAATGGGGGAAAACTGTGATTGTTACAGCCTATGCTGTAAATACTATAAACGACGTAGTGAAGTAACTTGAAACAGTCATGCTCGCTATAGAGTTCATACTTGTGGCGACGTGGTGGGCCGAGTCGATGTGCTCCCTCTAATATGGTTGAATGCAATGATGGCTGGCTCATCCGTCATACTCGTGAACGGGTGCTATTTGCGGGGGCTGGTCTGTTTGGGTTACAAACATTAATTAGACTATTTGCTTTTGCAATAGCATATGCTGGTGGTCACTCTATTCTTCCAAATTTAAATATGAATCTATGTTATTGTAAACATGTATAACATTTATTTGAGTTCGAGCCGAGTTCCTTGACAGTTCGTCTCATTTCGAAATCATTCCGAACTGACGGTAGATTTGACATATCATAAGAGTCTGGAATAGACCTACATGAATAGAGATATTTTAAATTTGAATTTAGATCGTTTGGAAATTCGATAAATTTTAATTCAAACGTGTAACAGGGGAACACTTTATTTATTATAAAATTGTGTGTATTACAAGAAAACAGTATTATAATGATGTCACTGGAACACTCATCGCCTTACTACTATATCGTCCGTTAGTCGCGAACTTTCTGGAAGCGCGGGAGGCGCGCTCCTAGTCGGTCGCGCAGTTTCCGCGCGATACGCCTGCGCTGTACGTTTAGATGGGTCTCACGGCGTAGGTACTTACTATACCTACGTAAAATGTATACATTTCGATGTTACAAACGTCTATTTATCGCTAATGTTTCAATAATTTTGATTTGACTTGTTCGATGATGAATTCTGATAATAATATCTTGTTAACTGAAACTAATGATTGAAATTGATTATTGTCATGTCACGATATGACATTTAATTAACTGGACCATAATACCTGTCGACATCAAATATTCTTTGCTTGAGAAAATTTATTTTGTGTAACTTTACATAGTAAAGTAGCTGACCTGATGGATGTTGGTAACCATTACCTATAGACATGAATAGCATCGTGGACATTACAGGATACTTATCAACAAATCGCTTCCCTCTGCCTGTCCCTATGTATGCTTAGATCTTTAAAACTACGTAACGGATTTTGATATGTTTTTTTTAATAGATAGAGTGATTCAAGAGGAAGTTTTGTATGTATAATACATGCATAATACAGGAGAGAAACACTGAAAATTTTAGAGGTTTCTAATGTGCAGTGCTAGTTAGTTTTAGCGTTGCACCCGTGCGAAGCCGAGGCGGGTCACTAGTATATATATATATATATATATATTAGTAACTTAAAATATACATTTATATATTCACATTATTGTACGTATGCATATCTCTATATATATTTAAAAAAACGAACAGAGTTTTGTACCTCCAATCAAACTGTTTCCAATTACTCTTCTCCGTCTAAAGGTTGCTTGGAAGAGGTAGCTCTTAGCGATAAGGCCGCCCATTGTTTTCTTAGTATAACATTTTCTTGGAATTGTTTGTATTTATAACTATCGGCCCGTCCCGGCGTCGCACGGGTGGACATTTTTACATTTTAAAAAGTGGCCATTAAGGCTGCACACGCGACGGAAGCTTAAAAATGGAGTAACTTCTCCCGTTTTCCCAACATTTCCCTTCACTGCTCTGCACCTGCCCAGGAGTATGAAGAATAATTGTACCGAGTTTCGTTAAAATACGTCGAGTAGTTTTTGTTTCTATAACGAACATACAGACAGACAGAAAGACAAAAATTTTACCGATTGCGTTTTTGGCATCAGTATCGATCACTAATCACCCGCTGATAGTTATTTTGTAAATATATTTCATGTACAGAATTGACCTCTCTACAGATTTATTATAAGTATAAATAAGTTATAAGCGTTTATACTGTCTTATGGAGGAAACGATAAAGAGTATCTGTCTATCTACATATGATAGCTTTTGCCCACAACTTCGTCCACGTGATCACGATATGTATACTGACCAGAATAAAAAGTATCTATGTATCCTTCTTCATCCCATATTGTATGTGTGTGTATACCACATTTCATAGTGATTAGATAAGCCGTTAAGGAGCTATAAGATAACAAATAAACACACATTTAATAATCTTAATAAAGATATACAAGATTTTATTATTGTTTCAGATACCCTGCTGATGTCTTGGAGAAAAAGTTATGCAAATAACTATTTACAGACAATGTAAGTATATATATATATATATATATATATATATATATATATATATATATATATATATATATATATATATATATATATATATATATATATATATATATATATATATATATATATATATATATATATATATATATTTATATATATATATATACGACTTACAATGACAAATAAGCTGACGGCCCACCTGATGGAAAGTGGTAACCGTCGCCTATAGACATGAGTAGTATCATGGACATAACAGAGTATACTGTTTCACCAATGATACCCCCCATGCGTTGCCATTCCTGAGGATTCAGGTGTAATTCCTCTGTACCCAGTAAATTCACGCCATATCCCACCCATCAAACCGAAACACAGCCATGCAAACACAACTGCTTCACGGTAGAAACACGAATGGGACAGAGGTACCCAAGCATTCGACTTTTATACAAAGTCTCCCTCTGGTAATATATGATAGATATATATATATATATATATATATATATATATATATATATATAATCATCTTTCTACCCTTGTCCCAATTACTCGTATTTGGCGTCGGCGTAATATGATTTTATCCATATTACAAAAAGATTTGGTTTTTAGTTTTACGACCGGCCACCTGCCTGATGTCAACCCTCTGTGGGCCCCACAATGTGGCAATCATTGCCCCAAAGTGTAAGGCAATGATTGATCAGTCGCACAACGTTTGACTGCGGTCTGGGCACTCTAAGTTCGCAGTCCAGCCTAAACCATTATAGAGAGGAAAATCATTTTTAATAATGCTGGCTGCCAGTCCCGTTACTACCATTACTAGTAATATATCCTGTCAGATCGAGTTCCACGTGATTCCCCTTGGAAACCATCGTGCTGAATTCCAGGTTTATTCATCACCGGTTAACTGACCTGCCTTCTCATTCACACGTATGATTACTCACTGGTGCCCCGCCAGCGTATATCGTTAGCACAGGCGAAGTTACCATTCCTTTATCACTCTTTAAAAAAAAAACAGCAATAGTTAAAACATAGTCGTACTATATGCCAAATAAAATTATTGCCCCTAACGATTTACGATGTTAATTTGGATTACTGAACCAATAAAAATGTACGCTATTCTTGAAGACCTTAATAAATTTTTAAAACCCTTCTATTTGTCCATTTATAACAACCCAATAATGTCCAATAGCTAGTCCCTGCCCATATATCAAGGGGATATAACATTACTATTAACACGCTGGCCAAACAACTTGGAGCATTTCATTTAAACGAAATAAAGTCATAAAACAAATTCTAGTCCAATTTTCTTCTTCAATTTATTGTGTTTACATAAAGAATAAACGTGCTACATTTCTTTTCAGGTAAACGTCGTTTCTGTCTTGAAATCTTTCCTTCTTCAAGAAAACATATTTCTACAACAATGGACTTAGAAGAGGTGGAATTGTACGAAAATAGCAACTCCACTTACTACTTGAATGGAACATACAATGGCACATTCGAGAACTGTCCGAACAATAACCTGCCCATCGTGTACATTGTTACACAGGTGCTATACGCCCTGGTGTGCGTCGTGGGACTACTTGGCAATACACTGGTCATTTATGTCGTACTCCGATACTCAAAAATGCAAACTGTAACAAACATGTACATAGTGAACCTTGCAATCGCAGACGAATGCTTCTTGATTGGCATACCGTTCTTAATCATCACGATGTCTCTTCGCTCGTGGCCGTTTGGTCGCTTCATGTGCAAAGCTTACATGATATCAACAGGCATAAATCAATTCACCAGCAGCATATTTCTTTGTATAATGAGTGCTGACAGATACATAGCTGTGTGTCATCCGATAGCGGCACCTCAATTGCGGACGCCATTTGTCTCACGCGTCGTATCTGCCGCAGCATGGACCGCTTCCGCTCTCGTTATGACACCGATATTCATGTACACCACATTAATACCAACAGAAAATGGATTATCGTGTAATATTGTATGGCCAGAAAAAGAATCAAGTAAAGGGCAAACCACTTTTACATTATATTCCTTCGCGTTAGGGTTTGCCGTTCCATTGGCTCTTATCTTCGTTTTTTACTGTCTCGTCATTCGTAAACTGAAAACTGTGGGACCAAAGAATAAGTCGAAAGAAAAAAAAAGATCTCATAGAAAAGTGACCAAGCTCGTGCTGACTGTGATCGCTGTATATGTCTTATGCTGGTTGCCATACTGGGCCTTCCAGGTGTCACTCATATACTCTCCGCCTACCGAGTGCGCTAGTCGAATTACAATAACGGTCTTCCTGGTAGCAGCCTGTTTCAGCTATAGTAATTCGGCAATGAACCCTATTCTTTACGCTTTTCTGTCTGATAATTTTAAGAAGAGTTTTTTGAAAGCGTGCACATGCGCTGCAGGCAAAGATGTTAACGCTGCTCTTCACGTGGAAAACAGCGTTATACCACGGAAAAGGGGCGGAGGGGCTGCACGAGCTCAAGCCAGAGCCACAGCGGAGAAAGGAGGTTTATCCGTAGCAAATTGTGGCGTTGCAGGTGGGTCGCGATCAGAGGCTTCGACTGCGATGACGTCAAGGTCGATAGCAGCAAGTGAGGCTCTGCCACTTGAAGCTCGTCCGGCGACCCTCGCCCCCCTCATAGCGTCAAATGGCTTGTCTCATTCACGACTCTGAGTGGAGGCTTCGGGCCCTGGTTGCGAGCCCTCCAGCATGTTGCTGGAAGAAGATACTCTTATAGTGTCTATTGATTAAGACTGTCCAAATACAGATTAGGTAGCGTGGCTGACAGCTGAATGAGACACGAGCCCTGTCTCGCTCGAGCTGTCGGAGGTGTATCGTTGACTCGTAAATACCCGTTAAGCTCTAAACGATAAATTATTTCTGGTACGAAATTAGCAGTAATTTTAACGTTTGTCATGTTCTGTACAAAATTTATAAAATATATGGTTAATTCGGTCTAGGGTTGTAACAATGAATTTATTAAAATATAATTTTGTATCGCTTAGCGACTGTAAGTTAACTGTAAGTTTACTGTTTGTATACCAGTAATTATTGTGTAAAAATGTACATATCGTGTAAATATTCATACAAATTGTCATGATGTCGCAGTTGTAATAAAACGTTCGTGAAATGTGTATTTATTTTTCCCATCTCTGAAACGTGACTTGTTACATATTCTCATAAAGTTTTAACAATCCTACGAATACAAATTCAAATTCAAATTCAAATTCAAAAATCATTTATTCATGTAGGACATTTTAGCCGCTTATGAACGTCAAATTTTTACATTATAATTTTATATTTTCCCTACCGTCCAGTTCGGTATATAGATCCAATTGAGAAGAACTGGCAAGAAACTCAATTGAATTACTTTTTTTTTTAAAGCCAGTTTATTTACAATGTATATTTATATAGGTGTCTATGTCTAACATTAAATGAAAATTCAGTGCATGAACAACTATTGCCATGCACACTCGTCATTCAAGTAATCGTTTAGTGAGTAATAGGCTTTGCTCAGTAAATATGATTTAACAGATGTTTTGAATTTATTTAAGGGTAATTCCAACATATCCTTTGGTATCTTATTGTAAATTTTTATACCTATTCCCATAAAAGACCTATTAACTTTTTCTAAACGATACTTGGGGACAGCAAGTTTGTCTTTAAATCTAGTATTAATATTATGAATATTGCTGTTTTTTGGAAATAAGTCAAGATTTTTATGAACATATAGGATATTTGAATATATAAATTGAGAAGCAACGGTGAGAATATTTGCCTCTTTGAATTTCTCTCTTAATGAGTCACGACTCTTCATACAGTAGATCGCTCGAACGGCACGTTTTTGTAATATGAATATATTCTTAATATCTGCCGCTTTTCCCCATAGTAATATTCCATAAGAGAGTAAACTATGAAAATAACTAAAATAGACTAATCTAGCAGTATCAGTATCAGTGTACTGTCTAACCTTACGCACGGCAAAAGCTGCTGAACTTAGTTTCGCTGCAAGGCTTTGAATTTGTGCACCCCATTGTGTTTTATTATCTAGTGTGATTCCTAGAAAGACAGTAGATTCTATAAATTCGAGAGATTCGTCATTTAATTTAATATTGCAATTAGTATTAAAACTTTTAGACAGAGAGAAATTAACACATTTTGTTTTTTTAGCGTTTAACATAAGATTGTTAGTTGTAAACCAGTGCAGGAGACGCCGCAAAGCACTATTTACATCGTCATAATTATTAGTCATTCTATTAACTTTAAAAATCAATGAAGTATCATCTGCAAATAATACTATGCCGCATCTATCCTGCATGGCATATGGGAGATCATTAATGTAAACTAGGAATAAAAATGGACCGAGAATAGATCCTTGAGGTACACCCATTTGCACAAGTGACCCGTCAGACGTAGCGTTGCTAATCTTCACTTTCTGTATTCTATCAGATAGATAAGATTTTATTAAATTTAAAGCATTGTCTTTGACGCCATAAAAAGCAAGTTTTTTTAGCAATGTATTATGATCAACGCAATCAAAAGCCTTAGAAAGGTCACAAAAAACACCTATCACATCCATTTTAGTTTCCCATGCAGCAAATACGTGTCTAAGCAACTCTGCACCTGCGTCTGTAGTTGAACGACCTTTGGAAAAACCGAATTGACTATTGTGGATTAAATTATTTAAATTGAAATAACTGACAAGTTGCATAAGGATTATTTTTTCAAAAATTTTACTGAGTGCTGGGAGTATGGATATAGGTCTATAATTTATTGGGTCACTCCTATCTCCAGATTTAAAAAGCGGTATGATTTTACTAATTTTCATTATGTTAGGAAATTTACCTTCATCTATACATTTATTGAAAATAAAAGCAAGAGAGGGCGCAATAATTTCCATTATACTATCCAGTATTTTAACAGATATACCCCATAGATCCTCTGTTTTTTTATTATTAAGCTGTTTGAATATTTTCATTATTTCTACTGATGATGTATGTCTAAAGTTAAATACAGCTGATGACTTGCTAACATTGTCTGTTAGTAAAGTTTCAGCAGCAGACGGGGAAGATTTTAGAGCCTGTGTCGTAATTAATGGAATATTAGTAAAATAAGATTCGAATGTATGCGCGACCTCTGTGTCGGAATTTACCAATTTGTTATTAATATTTAAAGCTATTTTGCTATTTTGAAAATTAACTTTTCCAGTTTCGCTATTTATTACTTTCCAAGTGGCTTTTATTTTATCTTTAGATTTAGTTATTATTTTACCTAAATAGAGAGACTTAGCTGTATGACAAACCTTTTTAAATATTTTCGAATAAGATTTTACATGTTCATGAAATAAGGGATCGGATATATAGCTTCGTTTTTCGTAAAGTTCGTAAAGATTAGCCCTAGACTTATAAATACCAAACGTGGCCCAGTCACAAAACTTTGATTTTACACTAGTTGAAAATGTTTTTGTTTTAAATTCACTGCTAGCTTCATGTTCAATTAAATTAAAAATATGTTCACATACAATGTCCGGGTCATATTGAGGTACTATGACACTAGATATTTTATGTTCAATTTTATTTTTAAAACGTGCCAAATTCTTTTGTGTTATTTGTCTGCATGTAATTGTTTGAGTCCCTTTGGATCCCTTAGTTTCAATTATAACTTTTTGTCCGTAATGATCAGATCCAAGACAGTCGAAATTCATTTTCACCTTTACTTCACAATTACAAAAAACATTATCTATACAAGTGGCAGAATTTCCTGCGACCCTAGTGGGTTCTAAAAAAAGATTGTGCAAATTAAATGATTTAAATAAGTTAATCAATCTTAAGCTTATTGAGCATTCCGATAATAAATCAACATTAAAATCGCCACATACAAATAATGTTTTATTCCTCCGTGCGACTCGTCTCAATGCTTCCTCCATAGCCAGTTCAAAAGAATCAAAACAAGCCGATGGCGGACGATAAACGCAAATTATTATACAAGTAACAAATTCTACGCAAGATAGTTCAATTGTTTGCTCAATAGAAATATTTACAATGTCTTGACGGTTTTTATATTCTACATCATTTTTTAAAATAATAATTGACCCGCCATGAATGGCATTGTTCCTAGCAAAAAAACTAGCTATATTATAATGTTCAAAAGGACAAATTATTTCATATTGTTTAAGCCAATGTTCTGTCAGACATAACACCCGTACATTGTTAGATTCTAAGAAAAGACTTAATTCTAATTCTTTGCTGGAGAAGCCACGAATATTTTGATGAATAATGACCATATCCTGTGGCTTAACCAATGTCGTAGATGTTAGTTTAAATTAACACATGTCACATTATTAGTATAATTACTAATATTACTAATTAAACCCGTTATACTACTTATAATGGGATCATAAATGTTATACGCTAGTAAACTAGCAATAGTCTTTTTTTGTTTTTTAGGAAGATAAAAATTACCTCCCGTCATATAATAATTTGTAACAAATTTGTTACTTTCAAAATAAAATATATCATTACAATGATATGTCATCGAATTAATTAAATTATTTATACTATAAATGAACTTATTCTGTTCATTAGTCAGGGATTGAGAGTAGGGAAATGCGCATAATAATATTTTACCTATACCAAGCTCCACTATATTATATAATGATTTTATTAAATTAACTATATCAGATTTACGCATATGCAAACAATTCCCTAACGCTATTACTAGGGTCGTGTGAATATCATATTTTTCATTTACTATATTTTTTATAATCTTATATATACCTGATCCCGGAAAACAATTATTTATTACTTGTTGCGAGAGGCAGTTCGATAATAAACTACCTAAATCCTTGCCAAATTCATCTGAATAAACAATTGTTCTCCTGATGGTTTCATGTACAGTGCTGCATTTATTTACTTTTGTACTGTTTCGTGTGGGTAAACATGAAACGTCTGGCCTCGTGACGGATGAGATATCAATGTTCAACTGATTATGGTGGGACGGTTGGATATAGTTATCAGACTCTGGTGAATTACAGTGACATCTGTCCGTAAGAGAAACAAACCGCTCCATGTTGTAGTTACCTAATTTTATTAAATTATCCAACTGATCAGAATATTCATGTATTTCATTCTTAGCTGATTCGTATTTCAAAGATAAATTGGACAACGAGTTCTCTAATAGTTTAATTTTTTGTGATAATTCATCTATTTCTAAATCTTTGTTATATATTTTTTCTTTACAATTATTTAATTCTATTGATAAGTCAATTTTTTGCTTCCTAGTAATAATTGATTTTAAACACTTTTTATGACTTTTCACTAAATTTTCTGATTTTCGAATAAATTTATTTAATTTTACATATTTTTTTAACTTCTTACTACTATTAATACGTACTTTATTAGGACTATAGGAGCTTGGTGTATTTGTCAAATCTATGGTCACAAGGGGCAGAGCAGATGTTTGATCACTAGTAGTATTTAACATTTCTGTATACAGATCCATGGTCTTGTTATAACTACTCAACCGCCTGTGATCCAACAAAGATTTATTTTGTGATTGAATATTTAACAAGATAATGACAAAGTACGTAATATATTATTGGACGAATAATTTCATCATTATTCAGATCGAGTCCAATAATTTTACAGAGTGGTGGACTGGAAGGTGAAATGATGAAAATTTTGTAGGCACGTAACTATGTCACTAATATAATACAATTTTAACTGGACAACGTCTGTGCATGGGAGATATTCAATAAAAAAAAATATGTGATGTAAAAAAAAACTTAATAAAACTAATAGACGCCAAAATAATATTTTTTAAAACACTGTCAATCTGTCTGTCTGTTTGACGAGGTCATGCAAAAACTACTGCAACGAATTCTTTGAATTTTCACGGTTGTACTTCTGAAAGGTTAGCTTAGAAATTTGTGTATATATCATTTTGATACGACATTTAGAAAAGCAGGAAAATCAATCAAATAGAACACCTATTTAATTGATTTTGCTGCTTCTAAAATCCACGCATACGAAGTGGTGGACAAAGGCTAGTAGCACAATTTACTAATATAATATGCAAATAATATAATGCAAATAAAATAAAATGCAAACCAGACTGGTCTGAGATAACAGACAAG